AAGTTTAAAAACTAAGTAACTAAGAGTAAAAACTAAGGAAATGGAAGAATTCTTACATTTCTCGTAAAATATGGTAGTACATCAAAAATTATTCTATAATCAGAACATCGATTCGATATAATAAATACTAAAATATAGATTATATTATAGTCATAATTTTATATACGACGAGATCCGGACATAACAGTATATGCTTGAGTACGTCAACATGTGTGAGTTTTTTGATAATCAGACTTTTGATGACTTTCAAATTTTCTAAAGTAAGTTTAGAATTTCAATGCTTTGTCACCGATATAAATGTTTCTATTAATTAAGATAATCAGTAACAAACAACGTTTAAATTAAAATCTTTACGCACATCTCTTTATTTAATTAACATTTTAATTAAATAATTTTTATGTATTTGTATACGATTGCTTTAATTATCTTTAATGATTTCATTAATCATGTGGATTTCGTGACTAACAATACAAAAGTCAAGTTATAATATTAATTAGTTCAATTTTTTATTTAGCTCACGATTAATATATTGATGGATAATTTTATCATTGATTTATAAAATATTATTTATGAATGTTATATATTTTATCCCGAATCAATCACAAAGAGAAACTTATCAATAACTTTATAATTTTTGATGTAATATATACCTTTAATGGGCTTCTTCAAACTTATTAATTACTTTTAAAATGAAATAAAAAACGCAACTGAAAAATAAATGAGGATAAAATTGATTTTTTATAATATAGAGTATCGTATCGTAGAGCATAAATATATTTTAACTGACTCAATGTACCTTATATTTTCTTAATTTAATACATGTTTAAAACTTAATTTGAGCTCTATTATGAATAATGATACATCTTATATGGTGATTCCATCTTACATTACTTAGGTGATTATTCAAATACGTAATTGGGTACAGAAATTTTGATATTAACTTTGTATTTCAATTAAATAACTTAGCTAGTTTGAATAGAATAAATAAAGCACAGATAATAGAAAATTCTATATTCTTCATGAAATTCATGAAATTCATAAATTTTATTGAAATATTTTTACGTATAAAATGTAATATTCTATCAACAGTTTATTAATATTGCGTTAAATAGTGAAAATATTATAAAACCATTATACTAGTCATGCTTGATTTATACCTTTCATAAAATACTTTCAATAGCCTAGTATTAATACCTAATAAATAAAACAAAATTAGTTTCAAGTTATTTTACAAGACTAAAATATAAATTAACCTATAAATTTTTTTTTTAAATATCGCATTTAACAATTTCGAAGAATTGAGTGAATATCATTCTGTTGACTCTGGTGAAAGTCGTTTTATAGTATTGAACAAGTTCTCTCGTCTATAAAAGAACTGAGACACTGTTGAAAATTTTATGTGGGTAACTTTTGCTGGTATCGGGCCACTCCTACTTTTCAAACGGCTATCTTTCTTTAAAAATTCTCTTTAAAGTGAAAAACTAAAGCTATTAAAGTAAGATTCGAAGTTAATTCGAAAATACATTGTTTAAAAATTACTAATATTGTCTAAACAATATATTTTATGGGAAAAATATTTTTATTAAGTGTAAGATAAAGAATAATAAAGGTTATATATTTTTTTGTTTATAATTATTAGAATTATGTTAGCCTGTATTCTGTCTGACATTTTTTTTTTATTTTTCTAAACGATATATATATATATATATATATATATATATATATATAATGATCACGTAATTATACAATTTTTTCTTGTTAACTATTTTAAAGAATTCTTTCTATCAACAATATAAGTTTTACAGATATATTACACATAAAAGTAATCAAATACCTATATTACAGACAATATATTTATAATGAAATAATATAATTATGAGGCCGTAAATAAAAATTTAAAAGCATTTTAAAAACGTAAACTCCACAAGGTTAGAGTCAATTTCAAATCTACAAAATCTGTAATATACTTATTATATATCCTAGACTCGATAAAGTTACTTTAAGAATTGTATCTTTTTTCAGCATCCAAAATCCAAGCTATTTTGATTCCAAAATTTTGACAAAAATTTACCAGGACATTTTGCAACTACATGCTAAGTTTCCCATTTAGCAATGTGCTTATATTTTGTTGAACCTGGAATGCGAGAAGGGACGCGAAAAAACATAAGCAAGGAAAGAACGTCAACAACACCGCTAGTCTACGGCGAAAATTAGCACGTTTTTAGGACTTCTCCCCCCCCCCCCCCCCCCCCCCCATCCTTCCTGACGACTTTCAAGCATCGCTGAGCATGGAAAAATCGCCACACGTTGTAATTTTCGCCACAAAGAATGGACCACGATGCATCTAACCTTATACACTGTCTCTGATTCGCCTTTAACCCGACAAATAATGTAAAAGTGCAGAATCACTGAAAGATGAAATTTTTAATTTTGTGCTCATAAAAGTGGTCTAATGCCGATTGTTTTCAGCTGAACAGAGACCACCCATAGTATTAAAATAATTATAATTGCAATTATAATTTTATTGTAACCTTAATATTTTTATTGAAACGATATTGAAAATGAATGACCATTTTTCAGAGTAGAAATGAGAAAAAAGAGAGAACGAAATCCGTCATAACAATATTTAAATATCGATATTATTCTTAAGATTTTTAATACTTTAAATTACGTATGCATAATTTTGATTACCTGTAGATAAAATTCTTAAATTACATTAAACGGGAGATAATTATGCTAATCTAAGTGAAAATTCACCTTAAATATTAATCTAAATTCTAATGCAAATAAAAGTAAATATTTAAATTCAATTGATATTTTTAGACAATTCAAATGGGATTAAAAATCATATACCTAATGATAAATGTGTTACAAGTATAAATGTCGTTTGAGTTATAACAAAATAATAAATCAAAATAAATTACAAAAAGAATTTGAAATCAAATAGATTGGGAATTTGATAATAAAATTTTCAATTTTATTTTACCCACCCTAGTTTCAATTATATATACATATATTATTTTTTTTAATCTAACGATGATTTTGTTTATTATGCTTTTTTATACATACAATATATATATATATATATATATATATATATATATAACAGGGCTAATATTTTAGTATAATATGATGGTATAATATAAAAATTTCTATATAATTTTTTGAATTCGATTTAAATAAAAATCTTAAAGACTCGACATTAAGAAATATTTAAAGGCTTTAATTGCTTTCCATTCAGTTATTAATAATGTATAATTATTATATTTAAATAATCTACACCGTATTGTGATACCAATTCAATCTTTAGCTTAGCAAATATATATTTAATTTTTCGATTATATTTTAGTTTATGATGTTCATAAAGGGATTAAAATTTGTTCGTTTCATTAATAATACTTTAATCTTGATTAAAGTCTTCCATTATAAGATTTAGAGGAAAATTATATGATTAAATTAAATTATAATGATGTACTAAAAATTTCTTTGGGATGTATCATTCGTTAATATTTCGAATTGTGTGATTTTAGGTATTTATATATAGCTTAGAAAAGGAGAAGATATAAATTCAAATTTGTCGACAAAAAATCCGCTTCGCTATGCAGATCATATTTAAAATGGTAGTGTACGAGATTATAATCTAAAATGAATGTAATAATAGTTAAATGAAACTCCTTAAAATACGTTTTATTTTCACTTTTAGCCTTGAATTTGAGCATTTAAGCACAACAAATATGTACTTTCATTCGCTTAATTAATTATTTTATTTATGTGTTAATTATTCGCGTATAGTAGCATAGAAGAAAAATGTACTTATCTATGAAAATATCAAATTTGCTTTATGAATGTAAATAAATTTTTACATAGATTGAATGATTTTATAAAAATATTTGCATTTATCGAACGTATACTAGAAGAAACCTAAATTATTAAATTAAATAAAAAATTTTAGTTGTTATACTTATTTTCAATAGAAACTTTCATTAATGTTTCAAGATGAATAGAGTAAAGGATATCCGAATTTGTGGAATTACGAGTATAAGAAAATATTTATTAAGTCGAGTATTCGTTTTAAATTCACTTTAATTATAATACAATTCAACTTGCTTACGTCACATGAATATCATTCGCTGAGATAACAGTAATTCAAAAATTTTATAGTTTTATTAAATTTCATTAGCGTTGAACATAATTGTCTGAAGGATTTATATCGACAATAAATACTTTTCATTTTATTTTTCATCCTGTAAATTTGACATTGTCATTAAAAGGAGTTATTAGAAATATTATGAATTTTCATTTTTATTCATACATCAAATACTTCGTAATACATTATATTATGGTAATTTTATATGCCCCGTAACATAACTTTGTTTAAGCTCTTTATAATATTTAATTCGATAATATGTATTTTATTTCAAACTTAAGTTTAAATATTGAGTTAACGTTAACTTTTATAAACTACATTTCACTAGCTGCACATTCTTGCATTACTGATTACATAATGGAAAAAAATATCGCTTGAATATGCATTCGTCGTTGTCGAATTCGAAATTAATGCTCATCGGAATTTAGAAAAGGTTCTGACATTTGCACAGAGTTACAATTCGTATTATCAATCTTAAACTGGACTGGATAATCCAGCTAAACACCGCAAGTCAAATAATAACCAACCATGCATGCAAAAACTGTCCCCAACGAACGTCCATGAGATATGAATTTCATCTAAAAGTCGCATTCCCATGACGTACAATTGCTGGCGAAAGCACAGCTTTTCAAGCATCGAGCTAAGGACTTTTATCGCCCAGCCATTCACTAAACCCCCCCCCCCCGTTTTCCTTGAGCAATATTCCGCCATCCGCGCGCGGCGACCTCGGAACAATAAGAAAAGTGGGCCTCCGTAGACTGGCAAAAGCCATGGCAAAGTACGAACTCGCCCCCCCCCCTCCCACCAAGCTCCTAGTCAACATGGCCTAAAACTTTTGTGGGACTTTTCGCAGACGTGCTTGCAGCTCTCGTCACCCGAATTAATGAGGAAAGTGCCAAGCGCCGGGGCCGTCGCATCCGTCACCCCCCAGCAGCTGCTACGTCGGCCGCGAGACCCTGGTGAGCTCCAGAGACTCACCGCCGTCGTCTCCGTTGATCCTGTAGATATCAAGCTCCAGCAGCATCACCAGCACCAGCACCAGCACCAGCACCAGCAACAGCAACAGCAGCAGCAGCCGGACGAGTCCTTGCGAGACGGAGCGAGTGAGTAGAAAGTTACGTTCCTTCGAGAGCGAATTTTTTCTTTGACGATCGGAAACTCTGCGGACTTTGTCGAGGCGGCGCTTTTCTTTTACCATTTTACGGAAGTTGCGGATGCTTGACTTGTAAGTTTCGAATTAATCTGCACTATTTTCGGGCTCCGGAGGTTTACGAGACACCGCTGGCTATTGATGATTTAATCGCTTTTGCCTCGTTCACGGGGCTGATAGATTTGGATTTTTCATTCGGCGTTATTATTGCCCTTCTAATTTGGATTTTAAATATTATCTGGTCGGAATTATTTCTAGCCTAAGGTTTCTTAAATTGAAGGTTACCTATTACCACGCCACTCCATATGTAAATCTGTAAAGCTCGATTGGTCCTTTGGAAAAAAACTTATCTTTTTTTTGATCTTTTTTTTCCTTTTTTTTTTTAAATTCCATTTGTTTTAAGTATAGTTATTTGTTAAATGTTATAGATTACTTTAAATCATGTAAATTAGATAAAATATTAAAGAATTTATACACATTTGATTGTTTATCGTTTATCGTACCAAAAGAGAAATATAATTTACATTTTCGATCGTTGAAATTGATTTTTTTTTTTTTTTTTATAATGAAATAAGCGTAATGAAAATCAGAGTTTAGAAACTGTTAGGCTATTGTAATATCGAAATAAACATTTCATAAATAAAAAAAATATATATATATGTATAGATCAACTACATAAATATAAGTCTATATGGCCATACTTTAAAATTCATATAAAAAAAAATTAATCATAAATTTCAAAATTATATATACAAGAACTCGTAAATAATATTTGAAAATCGTAATTTTCACACGTGCGATTTTTATGATAAAAGAAAATTGAGGGAAACGAATTTTTCATAGAAATCGAAAGTTTCAATAGTCAAATCTTGGAATAGTAATATTTGAAATGAATAATTCTAAAGTTTACTAAAACTGCGTAAGAGTAATAAAACGATGGTAATTTTATGATTCAAATATTAAATTTCGTTTCCTATTCAAAAAGGCTTTGCGCGATGTAACATAAAAAATAAAACAAATGCAAGAAAAAGTTATAAAATCTATTATTTGTTAAAAAGTGAGGAAAACTTTTAAATTAAAAAAATTGATTAATTTGCCATCGGATAAAATTTTGAATATGATGATGACAAAGTTCATGCAAACATTATCCAAACGAACTAATTTTTCACTTAATTCTATATATTGAAACAATAGTCGGTGTAATAATTTCTTCATCCAGATTACTTTCAACTATAATAATACGTAAATTATCTCGCAGAAGATTCTTCTACATTGCAGAATAACGTTACAGATTACAAAAAATTTCTCTTAATTCTCGAGAAATATCTAAATAATGTGCAGCAGCAAGACTATTTATAATATCATAATATGGACGTTTCGCGTGCTCAATTGGAAGTACATGAATTTTAGACGTCAGCTTCCTCATAAACCCACCTAAGTCGATAAATACTATTAAATCGGCCATCTTAATTCCAGACTTCGAAATTCGATGTGTCGAAAGTAATTCTCCGCGTGCACCATAATTTTTTATCCTACCCCTCTTAATCTTGTACGCGTTTCGCGCTCCTCTGCACTTTGCCTTTTCCCGTGAAAATGGAATTCTCCGTGAGTCTGAAAAATTGAGCATCCAGTAAGAGTTAGCTGCAAGTTCGAAAGAGAGATTTTCAAATTACTTTAAGGCAAAATGCAGCGGGATTGCATACAAAGGTTAGAACGATCGGGACTAATTACATTCTTATGCTTGTGTGCGAAAAGAATCGAGCAGCTCATTTCTTATTGTCCTCGTCGCATTATATTAACTGCTTATTCTGTTCAGCTCAGCTCCCAGATAAACAGCTTCCTTATTGTTGTTGTTGTTGTTGTTGTTGTTGTTGTTGTTGTTGTTGTTGTTGTTGTTGTATGAAAGAAAAGGGGTTGGACTTCATTGATTAGCCAGCCGAAATATATTTGGATTACATGTTCCTTAGAGAATGGAGAAGCTCGCAGAGAACTGATACAGCGATGATAATATAATATATAAATACAAGATAGAAAGACTTCTAAGATAAGCGGAGAGAATTTAAGTTTTCCTTGAGACAGAGAATTATTTTATGTGCCGAACACGTGTTGATTGTGTATGCGTGTCAATCTCCTAAAGACAAGAAATAAACTTTCTTAACATAATATACTTATTAGTTACTGTTGTATTAATAATTGATGTTTTCTAGTTGTTTTCGGCGAATAATATAAATTGTGAAGAAACAAAAATTGGAAACTGAAATTATCGGATATGCGTGAAACTTTGTATTCAAAACATTGTAAAAGCTCATAGAAAATATATTCAATATTAATTAATACAAATATTTGCTTGAAATCGGAAATCTTTTATTTTCAGAATCTTTTGTTTGCGCAATTACACCATATTATCCGTATCTGTAATTACTAACACATTTATATTTAAAAATATGGATTTGCAATAATCATTCATCTTCATGATAAATGATAAAATGTATTATTTTGCAGTAATTTATTAAATATTATTATAATAGCTTCTATTTGTAAATTAAAGCATACGCTATTAATATAGATTATAATATATTCTCAGTACTTGGAATAATAAGTTCGTTGCACTTTTATTCGTTTAAACCATAATTCATAAGAATAAGAATTAAATTGTGTCAATTGAGACCAATCATATTTCATATTACCAGAATTTAAATCAAATTCAAATTATAATGTTGGGAAAAAATATTCTTTCATTTTCCAGTATTTGTGACTATATAAACAAATATATATATATATATATATATATATTACACCCATATTCGTGTGATTAATACATGCAATAACTGTTATATAAATCTAATTATCCATAATTTAAAATTATTTAACAAGAAAAAACTATTAGATTTAACTAAATATGTTACGGCTAACTGTCTAGACACTTTAACACGACAAATGAAAAAATTGCCTATAAACTCTGCAGTCACGTTATCTTTAGAAAGTTTGCAATCACTTTTGTCCGATTATGCTAATCGTTTTTTTTTTTTTTTTTTTTTTAAGAAAAAGAAAAAGAAAAGTGTATGACATATACTGAAACTATTAGCAATTGTTAGAACAAAGTATAAATAAAAAATTGACATAAACTGAATTGCATTCATTAAACACAAATAAAATATATGTTATTAAATTAATATTCGTTTTCACTGATAATATTATTGTTTATAAATATTTTTATAATTGTTTAATAATCCTGCATAATATTTTGCTTCGCTTATTTAAATCTATTTAAACGAAAAAACATTAACATCTATTTACACTTGTATTATTTGGATTATTTGGAAAAATAGAATCTATAAATTTGAAAACACACTCAGAAAATTTTATAGTGCATTATACATTTTATTTTACTTTCTTAATTTATATTGTGAAACTGACTTAATAAATTATACTAATAAATAAATGGCCATATCTTATGTGTCATGTAATTTTATAAAGTATATATTATGTATGTAGTATTTAGCTGATAACTGGTTAAAATAAAAAGAAAAATAGTAATTAAATAATACGTTCAACTATAAAAATTAATTTATTACATTACGTTATTGTTACATCGGTATTAGTAATAATAAATTAATTACGAAACTCGACCTATTGAAGAAATTCTTGTTAAAATTTAAAAACTGTAAATTAATCTAGGTAATTGATGCATTATTTACAACTAAATTTATCTTTTTCAATATCGTTGTTTCACACCTCTCGATAATGAAATTTTACAAAGCATTATGACTTGTGATCCTCTGATATTCAATTAAAACATTTCTAACTTGTTGCAATTATGCTAATGTTGGATGGATTTTGGAAAATTACTAGTCATCAAATAGTCGTGATGCATACATTTCGTTAACGATTAAATTGTTCATAATATATGTTCGAGATTGCGTTCAATGAAATCGCATCTTTACAATTAAACATACATACCCATACATACCCATACATACCCATACATACCCATACATACCCATACATACCCATACATACCCATACATACCCATACATACCCATACATACCCATACATACCCATACATACCCATACATACCCATACATACCCATACATACCCATACATACCCATACATACCCATACATACCCATACATACCCATACATACCCATACATACCCATACATACCCATACATACCCATACATACCCATACATACCCATACATACCCATACATACCCATACATACCCATACATACCCATACATACCCATACATACCCATACATACCCATACATACCCATACATACCCATACATACCCATACATACCCATACATACCCATACATACCCATACATACCCATACATACCCATACATACCCATACATACCCATACATACCCATACATACCCATACATACCCATACATACCCATACATACCCATACATACCCATACATACCCATACATACCCATACATACCCATACATACCCATACATACCCATACATACCCATACATACCCATACATACCCATACATACCCATACATACCCATACATACCCATACATACCCATACATACCCATACATACCCATACATACCCATACATACCCATACATACCCATACATACCCATACATACCCATACATACCCATACATACCCATACATACCCATACATACCCATACATACCCATACATACCCATACATACCCATACATACCCATACATACCCATACATACCCATACATACCCATACATACCCATACATACCCATACATACCCATACATACCCATACATCGATAATGTAATTGTATTATAAATTGTAAATTAAATCTTCGAACAACGATTCCCACTTAACCTCTCCCCGAGCATTTGCATTTGACGAGGGCGGGTGGCAAAAATAAGCTATTGAAGCG